AACTCTTTCTGTGCCTTTGCAGTTTTGGCCCCCCCTTCTCCTCCTCTCATATTGGGTGCTGAACTGGTCACTTCCAGTCGATCCCGACATAAATTAGTTGTGGCAAACCTGAATGAGATGAAGTTCCCGAGTTCCCCGTAAGCAGAGGGGAAGGGTAAGAGGAATGACCCTAGTCTACTGAACCTGGACAATATTTCTTCATAAGCAGAGGGGAATACCGTGGATCCCTTGCGCCATTCGGCTTATTCTACACCTGTCTAGTCTGAGACAAGGGGAAAAATAATCACCAGATTATAAACTCCCAATGTCTTGCGATCTACGCAGATCTGGGCCTGCAGAACTGTCGGCTCCGAAAATCCTCTTTCGTCATTGGGGTTCTAACAGGGGACTTGGAACCATTTCCAATGTCGACTGTATGATGGAGTATTTAGAATGAATCTACAAAATCCCACACATGACACACATGATTCCATGAAGATCCAATCTGTAGGCTATATAGCTATATACATAATCACCCAACAGTGCCATCCCCAAAGCGACAGTGCCACTTCCGTTCCCTCCACCAACCCGGCCACCCCCTAATTCTAACGAACGTCGATGATGCCACAACAGCCACCATAATCGCCTCGCTAACAAAAACAGCACCCGTGATCGCAACGGGATCCGACGCGATTGCCGCAACGATCCAGGTCGATGCTCACACCTTGATTAAAGCCCAAAACCTGACCGCGAGAGCCGCAATCGCCGCCCTCCGCGCTATCCACCTCTTCCCATCCACTGACCGTCGATGTGCAAGATGGCCACAATGATACCCCTCCGAGTTGGCAGATACTATTAAACAAGTTATCGCGCTAGGCGCCGTGAGCTGTCATCTCGAAGATTTGGACGAGACTGGCGTGCTGCGGTCAGTGGATGAGGCCGTGGCGTGGGTTGCTGTTTAGGCGAGGGAAGCCGGGGTTCCGGATCTCGTGGTGATAGGACCGACGTGTTATTGACGGAGAGAGAAAAAGCGTTACTGGAGGCAGGTGCGACGGCAGTTTTTGTTTGGGGTGGGCCGAGTAGGGGTGGGGTGTTTTGAGGGCGGAGGGTAAGAAGTTGGTTGATGCCCTAGAGGGTATGGTTAATGGTAAGACGGATTTGAGAAAGGGATTCATAGGGGTGATGGAGATTCGGGCATTGGACGTTGCAAGGATCAGTGTTGGGCCGGAGCTGTGGCGAACTGCCAGGGAAGCATTTACTGAGCGGGCCGAGCAAAATGTTGGCGATGTGAGTACTTGTGTCATTCTAATTGTCTAGACAAATCCATGACTTTATTACTTGGTGAGTCATAGGTTAGGCATTCAAGCCCTCGTCTGGGTCCTGCATCCCGAAAAATAACTGTCTGGCCTTAATTCAGTACACGGTCATTGATTGATCCCGAAGATGTTGTACATTGGCTGGAGGCATTCTGATAGATCACGATCCTGTGTCATGATCACCTCCGGCTACACAGCCTACTGATGCAGGTATTCCTATAACAGCAGTGTCCATCAGCAACGCAAGGCTCATTATCCTCGCTACAGGGCGGCCAATAATCATCCGTCGATCAACGTTGGTTAGCATCCCAGTAGCCCGAGCAGCATTGGTTGTTCGGAGTGCCGAAACTCACCGGATCTTCGAAGTAGTGGTAAGTGACGTACGTTTGATGTTGGGTTGGGGGTGTAGTCTCCCAATACCTATAGTAGACTCCCGTGCAGGTGGGTGTTGGGACACAGGTTCTGATGGTTCTTCTCGCGGTGGAGGCAATGTCGACTGGTAGAGTCATTACATGGAATCGCGCATTCGATTTTCTCATCTCTGATCATCGAGAGACGATTAGCGTCTCAAGCCATGTGTCGGTGCAGATTAAGCAATATTGAGCCTAGAGATCGAGAATAAAATAAACAATGTACTTGCCGCTGTCAATCAAATCCAGATTCATCGTAGCTACTTGCAATCTAGCGAGGAGTTCCAAGTGATTGGATTCCCAGGAAATGTGTGGTGTCAGAGACATACTTCTGTCACTCACATCGTTCATGGCATTCCTGAGAAAGTGATTCGATCTTAACACGAGATGTCCAAGCAAATCCGCACGTACGCAATGAATTAGATCCAAGTCCAATCTGGATTCCCTTCCAGCCATTGCATCTGATACTTCTGACGCAGTCAAAAGAAGATTAACAGAGCTGGCGGCTAATGTTTGGATTTTTGGAATCATCGATCGGGAGCTCACACATGTGAGATATATCTGCACCACCAGGGTGGTAACTGTTGAGATAGCCACTGGGCTTAATGCCTTATTTGCTAAACCTCTCCTAATTTTAGAGGCAGCTTCCTGTTTGACAATAGAACAACAACCGATCTTCTCTTTCTTTGCTCCCTGTAGTCAGATCAGTTACTACTCGAACAGCCTCAATGCTAGCTAGGTGATAGCAACCCCTGCAGACCTTTCTTGAAGTTTCAAGAAAGCGAGAGGACGTTCTCATACGCTCTAGCTGACAACGGGCAACTTTCTGGGATGACGCGGCTCAGTGGCAAAAGGGTTGATTGTCGTTTCTTTGGACCGGTTGGGGAGTCAGGGGATGCCTGGGAATCGAAAATCACGCCGCTTGATGAAACAGAGAAATAGACCATGGAAGGTCTTGTACTGCAAGGAATGGAGGAAGGGCACTGGAATGGGACCATATCGAGCGACGGGGGGGTTATAAGTTTCTGCTGATTCTAGAACATTATGTTTCATCTCCGTGTTCCATTATAACCCTGACATGAGCCCGGAGAATGAGTACCATTTGGATGAGAGCATCACATGTATGGGCTATTCTCACCCCCCCATGGCCGCGGCCTCAAATCCTACCCCAGCTAGTATCCCTCATATCACCGTTAGTGCCATTTAAACAGGATCAACTTTTTGCCTTCGTTTTGTCCTTGGGGCTCGTTTAAAGACAGAGTGAGTCACCTCCCATGTAGGAATCTATGTACAACATCCATTGCAGGCATTATCGAGCATCAACAGACGAATACGACTACAACCCGAAGCTAACAAAGACCACCAGCTTCCCCGCATGTGTGCGCCTGCATTTTTGACATGGACGGGCTTTTCTCAACTTCGAGGACACAGTTGGTCTCTCGACAAGCCAATTACTGGAAAAGCAGGGGAGGCCCCCTTTAACTCGGTCGCTTCAAGCCCAGCTCAGGGGTGTCACGAACTCGATGTATGGAGACTTATTCCACGACTGGTCAAGTTTCCGATCTCCCGCGAGCAGTTGGCCCGCGAGTCTAGTGCAGGCATACAACTGCATTTTTCCAGACTGGAGGCCGCTTCCTAGTGAGGAGAAGGTTTTGTCAAGCCCAAGCCATACACGGAGTGCTTCTTCTGAGGACACGATTGAGGTAGCTTTGGCTTCCAGTACCAAGGCTTGTGGTTACAATTTGAAAACTTCGGGCCGACA